GGCAATAAATTAAATTAATTTCCCCAAGATGAGTCCATTTTGCCTGTGATGGGGATTGGTGAATGATCTCTCCCTGTTCTTACTTTGACCCACAAGCTTCTTGCTATATTTTCTCTCCCCTGTCCAGCTGAGGAGGGGGAGTGATAGAGTGGCTTTGGGCACCTGGTGTCCAGCCAGGGTCAACCCACCACAGAAAGTAAGAGAGGTTTTTGTTTCAGGCAGATTTGTCAGCTGAGAAGGAAATGTTAAAGGACTTGTTTGTTGTTTTTTTTAATGTAGAAAAATATGCCTGCCACTGAGAGCTGCTAGCCTCCTGTTCTCTACATGGGGAGAAACTATTTTTGTAGTCTACTTACTGTGTCATGGCTGCCCTCCATGTGCTAGTTTTAGGGTCACTATGACTCTTAAGCCCCGTTTCAACCTCATTGTATATATGATGTACTTAGGCCTGCCTTTCTCCAGCTGCAGAAAGTGAGTTTGTGTACTTCCTTTTGCTTCCATTGCCATGAGCGGAACACACTGCACACATGTGCTGCCTCTGAATATGGGCCAGAGCATGGCCCCCTCCTGCCCTCCAGGAGTGTTGTCCATCCAGGCTGATTCAGGAGGGAGGTTGGCTCCGTCACCACTCATCAGTTCAACATGTTGGCCACAGCCATTGTTTTCTAGTTAACTGGAGATATGGAAACAACAAAGTTGGATGTTGAACTAGCAATGGCTGGAATTCTTTCAAAGTTTAGCACCATTTAAAAGTTGCTATTGCTATAGGTTTCAGACAAAGCGCATCACCCATCTACCAAAGACTGCTGTTGAAAAGCTAGGTTGCAGGTAATTGATGTTTGTAACGATGTAAGGCAAATCCTGTGATTATATCATAGGTAATAACTATACTTTCTGTTAGTGGACTTCATGAATTGGAGGGTGTTAATTCTGTTCTAGGCAACAGAATCTTTTTTATGAATGAGTGCACATCCACAACTCCCACTTGAAGTCAGAGCGCTGTGTGTGCTCAACCTTTTTGAAATACAAGCGTTCAACATGTAAGCAGCTGTCTCAGTTGATGCTTGGTAGTCCACACTTAGCAATCACTCTTTAGAGACAGGAGACCCAGAGCAATAGACTCGATCAATTATGGTTCCCTCATGGAAAACGTTTCCTGTTCATATTGCAATTTTACTTCCCATTTTAAAACAGGACACTTACCCTCTCTCATAAAGCCTTCCTTTGGTTGTTCTGCCAGTGGGGAAGACTGAGAAATGCAGTCTAAACATTCAACGAGATGGATAACCAACGTGTGCACAGACAGTAACCACAGGGTATGTTCCTGCTGTTTACAGTGCTCACGCCCTGACGGCAGACGTCAGTGTGGCTGAGACCGCTTTGGCTGCCGAGCTCTTCCTGGCTGATGGGGTTGTACTGACTGGCACAGCTACTGGATTGCCCGCAGATCCTCAGGAGCTGAAAGGTGAGAGCTGTCGTACGAAGGTCAGACAACAGGCAGTGAATCATCTTCTGAATTAATGTAGAAAGAAATCTATATACCCACTGTTCCTTAAGGAAAAAAGGAGGGAAGAAAAGAAGCTCTCACTGTAGGGTTTGATTTGATGTAGCAGAACTAATGTGACTGAGGTGCTATTCAGATTGGCTGTCATACGTTTCTAAACAACAATTTGGCAGGACAAAAATGAAAATTATTTGAAGCTTTTACAACACTGATGTTGTGGTTTAAATAAAAAAAAGTTAAAAATATATGTAAAATATGTAAAAACCAAAACAAAACCCTGTTCCATTTCTAAAAAGTCTTAATATAAGAAAAAGCTACTTTATAGCCTTATTAGAAAACTAACTAACTATAAATCTTTCCATTGAGGAGTTAAGCATTTTCATCTTTCACAATGAAGATGGAAGTCCTGCAAGAAAAGAGGCATTTTGATAAGGCAACATTCCAAAGAGCAGTATCAGGGAAAATACTATTTAGAGGATTTTCAGAAAGAATACAAGTTCTTTGGTAGATAGAGAGATATTGCAACAAAATAATTTTTAAATGGTGTGAATTTTTATCCAGGGAGAGTCATTTGACCTATGAGCTCTGACCTTTGCAAAAGTTTTATATGATTCTTCATATTTTTATATTGGCGTAAGTTTGGGCTGTCTTCATGAAAATGGATTGCTCCCATGATAGAATTAAAGTTCTGTCATGGGGGCATTTGATTTTCATCACTAATTTTAATTTAGATTAATGGCTTGAATTTGAGGGTCTCACTACATAAAATAGAATGTGTATTTTTTTAGGTTTCATTTTTGCTCCCGTGCTTAAACTGGCATGTTTTGAAGTTCCAGTGCAGAGTGAATTGTAAAAACAAACATACTTCACTTGCCATAGATACCTGGACCTCAAACATCTTTTGAAATAATAGGAAATCATTCAGTGTTTTCAGCGTTTTACCTATATCATACATGCTTAACAGCATTTAAAATAAATGTTGAACTTGTCAAAATGGGTTTTTATTTCATACATATTAAACTTTTTACCAAATAGGTTATAAATTACTATGCTTTAATCACAAATGTTAAAAAGAAAATGATGGTTTGGTGTGAATATTGAACTCTTAAATTAGTTGGGTCTTTTGGTACATTAAACTGTAAATGATACTTGGGATAGGGGACTAGGAAAACTAGGCATATTTTCAAGGCTACAGAATTTCGTTAATCTAGAGCTCCGTCCCTGCCTGCAATTAATGTCTCCACCATCCTTAATGCAGATTAAATAATAACAAAAGGATTTGATGAGTCTTAGGGCAAAATTCTAGGTTAAATTCTGCTTTCACATATGCATGTGCAACCTCCGTTGATTTCCTGCATCAGAGAGCTAAACCTGACCTCTAGGCCCGTAAGTTTTTATCACAGGACTCCAACCAGACAGCACCGTACCCTGGCTTCTGCTTTTCTTTCATGTGAACAAACATGTCAGTCTCCATCTTGTTCTCTTTCTGGGTCCAAAGAACAAAATGAATCAGAGTTGGCAGCTGTAATGAAGTACACACATTAAGTTTGTGTTTAGATTTCTGCTATGAAAACAAGAATCTGTGGATCATGGATTTATTTTACTTAAGTCACAGGATTTTGGATGTTAGCAGGCCCTCTTATAAGCAGCATGTTGGCTTAAAACAGTTAAGAGAAGAACTTACAAATCAATATTCCAGGGTATAAAGAAATGACAAATTAGGCATATCTATGTCAGCAGATTCTTAAAAGGAATCGGATATACAGTCTACAAAGTTGGTGTTGATGTGAGTGAAATTTTGCATTTCACGAATTTATGCAGCCCTGGAAGTGCTGTATTACGATGATACACACAATTGGGCACCTTTCATCACACTGCAAAGCGTATCTTGAAAGCAGAACCAGGAGACAGATGAGATTTTTGTCATGTCTTTTTTCAGCTTTGTTGTGCAGTAATACAGAAGTGGTTTTGCCTTTGTGTCTCTGTGTTGAATTGACTGATTTGTGATGGGATGTGGGAAGTGAGTGTTTCCCTGTCAAGCCAGAGAACTGGTGAGTAGGGTTTTTTTGTAGTTTGTCGCTGCCTTCTCGTAGGCAACCATCAGCATCGCTCCTCACAGCGGCTGGCAGGCTTTACTCTGGGGCTGTCTGGGCGTACCAGGCACCAGTGGTCGACAGAGCACAGGGTCTAAAAATCAGATTTCAGGTTATTAAGGAGCTGAGCATTTTGAGTTACGTTTAATTTAATAAACCATATTTTCATTTAAGAGGTTATGGAAGTTTGTTCCAGTTTGCTACATTGTGAAATGTTCTTTGGTTGGAGAGTAAATCTATCGGGTTTTCTCTTTGGCTGAAATACCTACTTCACATCCAGGCTGTATTTTAAGTGATCAAAGCTTTGTATAATGACTCCTTAGTTACCTGTGTGAACAAAGCAAATGGCCTCAGCTGAGTAACCAGTGGAAAATGCGCTACATCATCAAACTCAACAGCCAACTGTGACTGTCATCTCCTTAGTTTTTGTTCATAAAAGGGGCATCAAGACTGATTCACCCTCTCACTTCTTGATAGTACATTTAGGTCAAAATAGAGGCTGCTGCCTTTGCGGTACCCTCGTAGAGATAAACAGGAGATGTGAGTCTCTGATCTGTACTTTCTGTAAGCCCTAGATTTAATGACAGAAAAAGTCCTTTCAATTAAAAAAACTAAAATGTGTTACAGTGGAGCACTACCATAAACATAATGTTGTATACGGTACTGCACACTGCAGTGATTACTGCATATGAACAGGCTCTTAAAGAAGAGTAGTCGAGCAAGTTATTGGCACAGTGGTGCTTATTTTTATGCTGCTCTTTGCCATTGTTTTCAAGCGAGGAGCATTTGGCCTTTATTTCATATAACTTGTGCATACCATAGTTCAAATGCTTTCATTGTGCTTTGCAACCAAGCACTATTTCATTTGATTTTATTAAAGACATGTCTGCAGATGTACTGTCACAAGAAAGAGCACAGTGCCCTCTAGTTACAGTTCATTGAAATAGAGAAATGTGCAAGTTGTGTAAACTTTACGATCTTGTTACCGTAACATCACAAAATTGCCCTCTTTTCTCTTTGTGTCCAAAATAAAAAAAAAATCAGAAGAAGAAAGCCAAGAAAGCTGAGGGAGATTTGAAGCAAAGCTCTAAACAGAGAGACATCTTGATGGTGACTGAACATTGCCATGCAAAAGCATGTCTCACCGCTGTTGCTTTATTTTTTTTTACAAATTAGAATTTGTATTAACACAGCTGATAGAAAAATCACCTTCTAATCAATTTTAGGCCTTGGTGTGCTTGGAAATGACTTGAAAGTAGCATCTGTAGCGTACTTAAGTAGGTAACCCAGTCTTATTGCAGATGGAGCACTCCTATTGCCATTCTTCACATTGTCAATCTGAATAAATCCCCAGCACTGGAGATGTGTGTGGAGTCCATGTGTCATGTATGGATCACAGCAGGAGTTGGATACCTTGCTTCTTTGGAAAGCTTTGGGTTTTTTTTTTATAGTTTCACAGCACTCCCAGGTTTCACTGGTTTTCACTCTCTGCCTAGTAGGGCTAAGCCATTGTCTTACACCCATGTGATCATGCTCCGTTTAATTATTTGTCTCTTCGTTTGTCCTGCTGATGTGAAATAATTGTAAACCAACTACCTGCTAATGTGCCTTATGCACTTGTCATAAAAACAAATATTGACTTGGAATGCAGTTCCTCTGGGAATACAGTAAAGTACTGTTGCACAAATCTCCGGTCAGTTGTAGCACCTTAATTATGCATTGGTATCTATGTAAAGCAGATATATTTCTAAGAGCATGTAGATACTATATAAATAAAATTCTGAATTTTCTAGAACAGGATTTCAGTAATAACGCTATAAATAACTAAAAATGAATTATTTTGTTGCTGTAAGCAGGATTACTACAAGAATATAACATAGGCATAGAAATAACTGTAGTTTTAACCATATATGCATAATCCATCTGATTTGTTTAAAATTTTCAATAAGGACTGTGTGGAACGGTTTTGTTTTTGTGTTAAAATGTTTGTAAGAAGGAGTTATTGTTCCTAGACGGAAAAATGGTAGGGCATGTGACCTAAAAAGAGATTCAAGAGCATTTTAATTGATCCCCTTTCTTCAGTGAAGTAGGAAGGTGATAAATAATTAGTCTTCCCTGAAGCATAATTAATAAGTTAGGCTTCTGATGAAACTTCATTTAAACAAACAGTGTTTTGAAGCAGACTTTTATATGTTTCGTATATGCTTTCCCTACTTATTTCAAGCTCTAACCATCTTACATCAGCTTATCACCAGTTAAAGCAATTTATATGGTTTTAAACGTCAGAAATAACGCCGAGCAACATTTGTCTAAGTAAGGGATGAAGCATCCAGTCCTATGAGAGATTCTTAGGATGCTCAGTTTTAAATGAAAGGATGAGAAGAATGCTTAGTAATTCTTGAACTGGGATTTTTAATTTTTTTTTTCCCCCCAGAGCAAGTACTGACGCAGGTTCTGCAGAAAATACTCTAATAACCTTTTATTTATCTATGGGGAACCTTTCCATGGTCAAAACAGCCATCCTCTTTTGTTTTTATTCTAAAAAAATGTGAACTACGGTAACTGAACCATAGATGAGTTTCTGCACAGTCAGGTCTGTCAGAATGCATACATTTCACAGTGAACATGATCACCTGAACCACAGGCTGAAATCCACTCCTATGCATGAGGGATGAAATGCATCTGTAATGTTTGAGCCTTGTTTTGATATTTTGTCTATTTCTCCTTTTGGAACCAGGTCAGATAATTAAGTAACACATACTGTATATAGAAAAAATAATTGGCTTTTTTGTTCCATTGCCATTCATAGAAAGAGAGGTAGTCTTTATCAATATTATCTTTTGCTTTCTGATAAACTAGCTGGAGCTATCAATGTAGTCTGTATGACCACCACTTGCTTTCCTACTTCCAAGTTCCTGAAATTTATCATGGAGTAGAGAGCACGCTCCTTTTCCATTCCCTATGAATAAGGCCTTTCTTGTTTCTTCACCAAGGATCTTCTACTAGTTGTCAACACAGCATAAATTCAGCAAGGCAGAAATACACACCAGTCCAACTACCATGACTGTGATTTAAAATGATGACTGAAGAATTGTAATGAGCACAGCTCTGCTGAATAGTTCTGCCACTGTAATGATCTCACCAGACCTGCAAAAAAGAATCTGAGCTGATACAATGAATGGAAATAAGAATGGCATGTTATTCTTGTAGCTGTATTTTGGTTGCTTCATGGAAAGATCTGGGGAGGTGATTATTCATGTGTTAAGGTGAGGGGAATTGAGAATACAGTTAAGACTCCATATGGGGCATGGGAACCCACATGGTCACTCCAGCATCAGTAAATCCTTTGTCAAGGCAATGGACCTGGTTTGCCTGGAATCTATACTGGGTGCTACTGCAACACAGTAGTAAATGATAGCTCCTTTCCATGTATGCATAGTACCTCAAGCACAACAGAGCCTCTAAGTGTGATGGTAACAGTCACAATAAGTAAAACGGTCTGATCCTGCTGTGCAAAAACTTCCTGCATCCAGCATCTCTTCTTACCAGGGATGTGGAATAAAAAGTATTTTATGACGAAATATAGTAAAATACAGTACTTTCTCTGCCAGCCAATTCAACTTAATGTTGCTTAAATCTTGTTCCTCGAGAATAAAGAGGGGTAAAGGTATGGCACCAAGACCCAACTTTTGTATCTTCCACAGCACTGAAACCATCCTTTAATATGTGGCCAGGAATATTCTTCTGCAGTGTTTCATACAACAACAAAATGCAAAATAAAATAAAAGTGAGATTTTTTTTTAACAGCTGTTCAGAGCTAAAGGTGTGTTTTTTTTCTAGAGAAATTGTTTCTTAGTTTCTGTAGTAGAAGTAAGAAATACTGTGACCGTGAGTTTCTTGATACCTTTATTGTTGAAAAACTACACAAATTAGAGTCTTGGTAGAGTTTCAAAGATGGGACTTAACCCTAATTTTGTTTTTCTTCTCTTCAGAGGTTAAACATGCTGTGAAGATTCCTGTGTTGATTGGGTCTGGAGTGACTCTGGAGAATGTCAGGAATTACTTGGATGCAAATGCTCTAATAATTGGTTCGTATTTCAAGAAAGAAGGTTATTGGGCAAATGGTGTTGATCCTGACCGAGTAAAGAAGTTTATGGAACACATAAGTAAACTGAGAGAATGAGTTTGTCAGCAAACAGTATTTTGTGTGTGTGTGTAAGTGCAGTATGATACATCGTACAGAATTAATGCACACATGTGTGCTTGAATGGCTAATAACATTAAATGAAAATGCACATCATCTCCATAACTAGCTAGGAAACACAGTGACACTGTACAATAAACTGGTGCTGTGATGTTTGTTTCTAGGCAGCTCATTTCTATGGCACTCAAAGCCATCACCGATGCAAAACCAACTCTCCGAAGGCTTGTGTAATACATTCTCTCCTATAAGTAAAATGCTTATGGAGTTTAAGAATTTGTAGTAAATATTCATCACAGGTGAGCTGAGTTTTGTTTTGCCTGTGAGTACAATAGGATACCCTAAGTTTACAGCTAAGAGTATTGTAAATTGGACAAGTTAATTAGCCTTTCAGTTTCCCCATCTGTAAAATTATGATAATAGTACCTGCATCACACGGGGGTTGTAAGACATAATAAATGAATGAATGTACACCACTTTCATCTCCTCAAATGAAGGGCTCAATTAAAGTTCAAGATCATTATTTTTTCATTAGAATTGTGCATTTATTACAAAAATGTAGTCATTGTATACCATACAAAAATTTAAGATAATTGGGAAATTTATTTACTTAAAATACTTAGAGAATAAATGTAAGTATTTAATTACAATTTAAGTAGAGTTGGAATTTAGTCAAAATGTTTTTGCAAAAATTGGAAATTTTAATAAAGGTTTATTGTTATTTTTCAGCAAGCTCCTACGGTGTTGTACCTCTCCAGATTAGTATTAGTGATGTTAAGAACTGCCAGGTTCCTTCCAATACATAAGGTGTAATTACGATGGAAACCTTTCCACCAAAGTTGACAGGTAAACACAGATTTTCATTTTTCCTGTAAAATGTAGAGGGAAAATATAACAGTCTCACTGGGTATGTTGTTGAATTCGATCTTTTAGCTCTAATGAAGTTTAAAATAACCCAAAGAATACCTGTTACGTCATGGCTGTATAAAATGTGGGCGTATGCTTTCATTCCTTGGGACTGGGAGCTAAGTTTGTCCTCTGGGATCTCTCTCTCATTGACATCTATCATCAGTAGCAGCAGAAGCCTGATGCAAAGTTATACTGTAGATATCAAAGCAAGTATACAAACACATTTTTTTGTGTCACCTGGCAGAGTGCCCATGCTTCTCTGAACACAAGATACATTCTCCTTCCAAAGGCAAAAAGATTTTCAAGAAATTTACTTTCATTAACATAATGGTGACTTCAGATTAAGTCTTCTCCTCAGGTTTCTTTTTTCTGGACTAGTCTGTCTCCCACATGACTCCCATCAAAAGCAGTGAAATGTCTTTGGTGTGCTGACCTCCTGGAAAAGAGATTCTTTAGACCCTGTAATAACCTTTGCATTCTTCTGCTTTTCTCCTGTATCCTCCTAAATGTGCTGACAAAGTTTCAATGCATAGAAATCCTTTCAGGTGCCTGTCTATTGTGGCTGGTACTACTTTGTCAAAGTCCACATTTACACAGGCATTTTAATCTGCTGTGTGTTTGGACTTCCATCAAAACCAACAGTTTTGTCCCAACCACGTGTCCCCACCCTTTCTCTTGTGCCAGCAGGACCATTCATGTGGCCTCAGGGATCAGGAATTTGATTCTAGCTGAAAGCTAACCCAGTCTTGTACCAGCCACACTCGGGGGCGGGAAATGTAGGTCATCTTCCTCATTCCTTGCATCTGCAGCTCTATAACTCCAAGCTGCTGGTACAGGCAGCGCAGAATTATTTGATGATCATGAAGATGCTTTCTAAGTCTGTCTTCCACACTCTCATCCACCCACAACATATTTGCCAGGTAAAAAGCATTGTGTCAGAAATAGTGCGGCCAGCAGGAGTGGGGAAGCGATCGTGCCCCTGGACTCAGCACTGGTGATGCCACACCTCAAGTACTGTGTTCAGTTCTGGGCCCCTCACTACAAGAAGGACATTGAATTGCTGGATCGTGTCCGGAAAAGGGCAACGAAGCTGGCAAAGGGTTTAGAGCACAAGTCTTACAAGGAGCGGCTGAGGGAACTGGGGTTTTTAGCCTGGAGAAAAGGAGGCTGAGGGGAGACCTTATCACTCTCTACAACTACCTGAAAGGAGGCTGTAACAAGGTGGGTGTCGGTCTGTTTTCCCAGGTAACAGGTGATAGAACGAGAGGAAATGGCCTCAAGTTGTGCCAGGGGAGGTTTAGACTGGGTATTAGGAAAAATTTCTTCGCTGAAAGGGTTGTCAAGCATTGGAACAGGCTGCCCAGGGAAGTGGTTGTTTCACCATCCCTGGGGGTATTTTGAAGATGTGTAGACGTGGTGCTTAGGGACATGGTTTAGTGGTGGACTTGGCAGTGCTAGGTTAATAGTTTGACTTAATGATCTTAAAGGTCTTTTCCAAGCTAAATGATTCTATGATCTGATTTAGTCTTTAAGCTCTTATCCTGAGTAATGAGTTCCATCTTATGTCTTCTTTATTGTGAAAAACACCACATTAAATAAAAAAGAATGAATTTAGATATCAGTAATATTAGTGTGCTTAAATCAGTACGTGTTTTTCACTTTTGTGTGTTTGGGATTGTTTTCAGGCCTTTCACAGGTTGTGTATGTTTCCATACATCATTGCACAGAAGATTTAATGATGGTTGTCCAAACAGATATTTTTTTAATAGAATTGTTACCAACTTTGAAAGTTATTTTCAGTAAACCTGTAAGCTAGAAAGCTGACATATGAGCAATGCTGTAGTGCTGTAAGAAGAGTAAACGTCTTCAAGTAGTCATCTGAAAACTACAACCAATACAGTGATAAGGATTGTTTAGTGCTTATAATTATTTTAAAAGAAACTAATTACAGTTGCCAAAACTCACATTCATCATTGACTGTGAAAATATAATGTGTTACCAGCAAGTTTCTTGAATTGGTTTTAACTCATTCACATCCTAAAAATTCAAAAGTGTCTGGGGCTCAGATGGGTTTTCATCTGAATAAAAGGGGTGGTAAGTGAGAACTACTTCAATGCTGTATGCAAAGTCTAAATGAAGTAATGTCATATGCAGTAGTCTTTGTAAGACAAAACTAATGAGTTGATGTAATACTCATAACATGCAATGAATACTGTAGACAGTACTTTCACTGTCAGGATTTTGTTTAACATACCACTGTGTAACACTTAAAGAAGGAATAGGCCATAATTGGATCTGTATTGTTACATATGAATGGTAAGTGCAGAATTTAGGGAACAGAAGTAAAGGAAAGCTGATTTTAAAGCCTGGAAATGTGACTGATCGCCAGCTCTTTACCATTCTTCGTGCCGAAAGTATTTGTCTAGCAGCATTAAGCATCTGCTTGCCTGTTTCACACAGATGCTGTAAGTAGAATTTGACCTTTTGTTCAGAAAGTGTTTGAATATTTAATGTAAAAATATTAAGTTATCAGAAAGGCTGTCTCTTTTGGGAAGAGTGTTCAATTTTTATGCAGCCCAAGTTGTTAAAGTACTTCGGAGCATGAACAACTTCAGAGCAGAACAAAGCAGGCAGTGCTAATGTGTAGAAACTCCAGAAGTAAATAACAGCTGTTCAAGAAGACTTCTATTAAATATGTATTAATTAATTTGAAGTGCATCACTTAAATATGTGAAGAGATTATCTTGTGTTAATTTACATTAAAACACACAGCACTTGTTAGCCTCATTACAGTATCCTAAGTATATCCTAAGCTGTCACCTCATCCTACATTGAGCATTTTGTTGGGTGTTGATTGCTTTCAGTTTGCCTTTTTAAAATGTCAGATAGTGGCCTCCCTTTCTTGTTGGATCTCTTTCTCTCAGGTTTTGCTTTTGCTTAGTTACTGTACTTGTGTCTGTTCTGTGCTGAGCAGAAAAAACTTTAAAATAGATTGTGAAAATATAACAGTAATTGCCCACAGCTCAGCTCCCTAATGTGCCCACCTGAGATTCATGTGTGGTTCTCGCTGTTAACTTATGAACCAGCAGAGAGAATGTAAGTGTCCGCTTGTGTAGAAAAATGATTTTACATGAAGATTCAGTATCACCTTTAGTACCGGAAATATACTTAGTAAAATGGGGGTCTCTCTAGTGAAATTATAGATAAATAAAACCCACCGGTAGTAATAGATGTTGTGGTCTAATTCAATGTATAAATCTTAACAAACCCTCATTCCATTCATAAAACTTAAATATTTTTGTCTGGACCTAATAAGACAAATAGTTTTTTTACCTATTTCAGTGCTGAAAATACGTAACCTTGTAAGATTTACGGATAATTTTCAGAGATTTTCTTCCCTGTGTCATTTTGGCAGCTGATTCAGCTGCTAGGCTGTTTTCATCCCATCATTTTCACTCTGCAGACTCCCTGATTACAAGTTGGAGTCCAGTTCTTGTTTCTTGCACCTTGGAGTCCAGTTCTTGTTTCTTGCACCTATTCCAACAAACTCCTCACTGGGAGAAAACTGAGGAATATAAAGGACCTTGCAGGCAGGTCCTGGCAGAGCAGGAAGGGGGAGGGAAACCAAAATATTTGGCTTTAGCAAAATTTCTGAGTCCATGACAAATTGCTATGCGGCATGGTTCTCTTGAAAGGAGTGAGTGGGGATGTTTTGCTGTAGTTTCAGGTTGTTTGCAGCCTCTTCGGTTAAGACTTTGTCAGTTCACACCTAGGTTGTTTCCAAGATCATCTCTGCTGGTATGTGTGCTTAGAGAGATATTTTTTCCTAAATGAAAGCTGAAGTTTTGCAGGATACTTATGGCAATAACGGGTGATATTTGTAGTAAAATCCAGGCTTGGAATTCACAGCTCCTTGGTTTAAGAGCAGATTTAGATGTACGTGTCTTCAAAAAGAAAACATTAACGGTTTGCATTACAAAAACTTCACTTCCTGCGCCTTTGCTCTGGCAGCCAGTCAGTGTTTGCTGTGCTGAGGAACTTAGAAGTTGAATTTAGGGACAGAACTGCCTGTGGCTTTTTTATGGCACATTTGCAGTGCTTACCTATGCAACCTAAATGATACGTTGTTTAGAAAAGGTGGAGAATTGAGTGCGAGATTCTTTTTGTGGGCTAACGTGCCATGGCGTGTAGTAGAATTGACCCTCCGCTCTACTGTCCCTGCTGCAGAAATACCATCAGAACTTAAAAATCTTTCAGAGACAGACAAAGCTGGATTCCTGTCTTAGAGATGTCAGGGAAACCTACACAGTTAGCTCCTTGCTTTTTTTATAAGAACCGGTGGGGCTTGCAAGAAATTGTTCATGTTGAGGCATTACGGAACTTTCCTCCATGTTTTTCTCTACTCTTAACTATTGTTTGAATCTTAGTCACAAGGATTATTTGATCCTATGAACACTTCTCTTAGGGATAAAAAGTGCATTTCCCTCAGGATGATTGTTAAAGACCTGTGTTAGGACTAATAACTTCAGTCACATTGTTCTTATGGTGACTGGTTAGGAGTCTTCTATTGAAAAATCCATGCTTGGTCAATATTAAGTTGAAAATGTTGCATAGTTTCCTGACTGCATTCATATTCCTGACTTCATAGGTCAGAAAGACTTTGACACTCACTCAGGTCCAGACAGACCTATTAAATACTTTCCCTGGATTGTTCTTCAGCTGGCAAAGTTAACTACTTGCC